TTATTTATGCGAATCCTCGCGCTGGCGAGCATACTGCCCCGCGCTGAGAACATAAAGAGCAGTGCTACACCATTTTTTACTTGTGCCCTTCAGGTGGACGACAGCCGCTGACCGACAAGAACAAAACCGACCCGGAAAACTTGGGCAAAAGCCTCGATCCTGTGTATCAATCTGTGAATCCGTGAATCCGTGAACAATGCTTTATAGTAGATATTTATTTTGAGGTAAGCGGTAGCGGTTTCTTCTCATACCAGCTACACACTCCACATATGCGTCATCACCAAGCGCTAATCAGAACAAGCTCTCTATAGTAGACCGATATTTTGAGGTAAGCGGTAGCGGTTTCTTCTCATACCAGCTACACACTCCACATATGCGTCATCACCAAGCGCTAATCAGATTCCACAAGCTCTTGGTTTCCTACACATTCAAGCGTCGTATTAGCACACTGAGCCGATCGGACTCTTGTTTCAATCGGTGCTTTCTCTTGGCGGGCCAAACAATCTCACTTTGAGGATGTCAACGCGTTTTTCGCCCAACGGATCATATTCTACCGACAGTGATGACGAAGAGGAGGTTTGTTGTCTTTGAGAGCAAACTTTTCGAAGTTTTCAAAATTGATCAATCCAGTGGTCGCAGATGCAGCGGAAATCGAAGAAGAAAAAACATCACCCCAAGATGACACGCGTAGAGAAAAATGTCGTAAATCTTGAGGAAGGTGAAATATCCAGCGACGAACTGGACGACGATGAGGACGATGGTCTCGACGAAAACCTAATTGGGGGTGAGGATGATAAACGGAAGCTGGAAAAAATGAGTGAGAAAGAGCGGGAGGAAGAACTTTTCAGAAGAGCAGAACGACGGGATGCTATTCAGGTAGAACACGTGATAACGGTTGTTATGTTCTAGGCACGTCGCGCAGTTAAACAAAAGCTGAAAGAAAGGCGAGACAGGGAGCGTGCCGAGAAGGCATCTAATTCAACCGCTGTGGATAGCCAGAAACAAAAGCGGCAGTCTGCGTACGCCAACGTCTTTAGTTCGGATAGTGATGAGGGTGAGAACACTGATTCCAGTGGTGCTGGCCCTCGTGGTCTTCGTCAAAGAAAATTAGCTCTGGAGAAGAAAAAGGTAAGGAAGAACTTTCTGTGTGATCCAGCCATTGTCCTAACACAGGCTTAAAACATATGATAAGGGGGCGAATAATTAGATGGGTGTCTAGTGCTCAAAACAAGCAAATGCCGAAAAGTGTTCAGTTTCTTGCGCTATCGACCTCACGAAAATCGATTCCAGAGGAGTTAACGGTCTTTTTCATTGTATCAATCACTACAGTTAGGGGCTTCTCAAGACAGCCACAAACAACGTGCGAGAGCAACCCTTCCGTAGTGCGCAACACCTGGTCATCCTCAGGTTCCTGTTGCTAAGGGGCTTCTCAAGACAGCCACAAACAACGTGCGAGAGCAACCCTTCCGTAGTGCGCAACACCTGGTCATCCTCAGGTTTCCTGTTGCTAGCTGGACCCTTAGCAAGCCAGTGTAGATATTACTTTATCGCTGAAACGCTCCACTACTCCCCCGATGGCAATCATCGGCCTGAATTGGCTACCATCCACTGTAGCTAAGTACCCCTTCATACTAGATGGCGTTTCAACCGTATTTGCACCTGACAGGTAAGCAGTTCATCGGCAGATTGTATTTGATTTTTTCTGAAGATCTGGCTTGCAAAACCCAATCACTGTTCAGAACAGATTTTGGGTACGAGTGTTCGTGCAAAAATTTACGCTGCTCAACTGCGGTTGAATGGTGGCAGAGTATGACATTGGGTTTTCTCCGATCATTATCGGAGGTATCTTCAGCACTGCAGTTAAACTCGGATCTGAAACAATTTCAAGGTTTTCACTTTTTAGTGCTGAATTCACAGCCATGGTTTTCCAGTCCTGTGACAGCGTCTTGTCAAGGGATCTGTTAAATAACGCCTCCAAGGTAGCTGCAACCAAATATGATAGCGGATGGTAGATAAACTGGTGAGCGCCGTCGGAGGTACAGCTTTGATTTCGATCAGGATGTTCTGGCACACCGTCCATAAGTACTATTCCAAAGTTCCAAAACAGCGCTACAGTCATTTCACACTCCAATTTCACCCCGCAGCTTAGTGTGACCTTACATGTCGTTTGACATGTGGCTCTATGGTGGGATGGTTAGGGGTTTCCACCAGTATGGGAGAACTGTATCTACGTTTGCCACTTATTGCGCTCGACTTTCTGGACACAGCTCCACCTTGCTGGGAAAATTCGCCTGCTATTTAGACAGTTTTATCTGTCATCATTTTTGGATCATGTTTGGAGCAGGGATGTGTTCCAATAAATCTTTTGTACACAGTCTCGACATCGTCCCATCCAGGCACGCAAGAGCTCAGGCATAGCCTGGTTGTCGATAGAGAAGCCTGGTGAACCAGGGGAGTCCAAAAATAAAGAGAGCTAGTGCGCCTCACCTGATAGGATCAAAAACTAGCTCTTACTAAGTTCATCAGGAATGAGATTGGAAGCTTATTATTCAACGAGAGACAACGTCTTGAACACTGGGCTGAATATTCTGGATAACAGTTTAGTTGGTCTTCTGTCTTGTACTCGGGCCTTTCAGTAGACGAGCTCAGCTCGAGCCGTTGTTTGAGTCCACACCCTCCTTCAGTTCTCGACTTACCAATATACCTTTCTGCCTAAAGCGACATTGGGCCGCTAAGCCGGGTGAACTCACACCAGCAATGTTCAGGAACGGTGGCTAATCTGTGGTTCGCCTTGATCAGGTTGTTTAAACTAATTTAGAGACAGGAGTGCGGTCCAACAATCTGTAGCCAATCAGCATTTGTACCTATGCCCAAAGGAGATATCGGAAATGACTGCTTCAACCATAATGGTATGAGCCTCACTCCGGTTGTAACACGGTTACCAGTTTCAATAATACTGTGACGTCTGGCCTCACGCGGGACACGAACCCGAGATTTCGACCGAGTAAGGGTTCATTGACCACACCGTCACATAACGTCAGGTGATTGGGCAGCTGATCGCTGACCAACTGTAGCGATTCTCCTTGACTTCAAGAGAGTCTTCGACCCTGCTGATAGGTAGGACAACAAGGAATGCCACCATATTTTGTGAATAATCTTCGTGCGGTTTACTCACATACCTCTGATCGAGTTAGGTGTGCACTTCAAGGGACCATGATCCGGGTATCAGAATCACATACGGAGAAATATCAGTGGGTTTCGAGTATAAGGATGACGTTCTGTTATCTGACGGTCACGCGTCTTCACGAGCCACCCCAAATAGAATCATCATCATCATCATCACCTGTTTGGACCACGTACTTGCCATACAGTGGTCTTCTGTTACAGTGTGCATTTTTTCCACCCTCGAAATCCAAGGTCGTTGCTACTACCGTGCAACTCTTTGAAACTTCAGAATGAGGAAGTTTATTTACAAGCTAACTAGGCAGTACTTGCAATGTGCGGGTTGAGGTCAGTGCACGCACCAAAAAGGCGCGTGCAATATCTGCCAATTTGCTTTACCTTTGACGTCAGAAACGAATACCACTGCTTGAAGGGCTGTGCCTACAAGAATTCCGCCGGATCAGTCCTACTCTGTGGCTGTGAAACTCTTCGGTCCTTCGATCTAAGGAACTCAAACCTCTTCAGATTTCTGATCATCACTCTACATAGTGTAGCGGGCATCAACTAGGTGCAGCGTGTACGTAGTGAAATGGTCCATAAAAGTGTACCAAGTAATGAATCGGATTCGCTGGGACATGTTTGACTACCGTCTACCGGAGAGAGCCGGTCTTCCCACACCAAACCCTTTTTGGCGAATGTGACATGCTACACTGAATGCCCCGCTTCTTCATACTGCGGTGGCATTCAGGTTTGCTACATGGGTAGTCTATCCATATCAAGACCGTTCAGCTGTGGCACCCTTTCGGTGCCTAACTGCCACGCCACCTGGTGGAAGCACGAGGGCTGGGATACTGCCAGGTTGCCCTAAGCCTAGACAGGGGAGGCCGAGATGCAGAGGCCGGGTTCGAACCACGGACCTTCTAGTCAGTAAGTTGGCGCTCTAACCACTGAGTCATCTCGCTTCATGTACTACCCATACTACCTATATATTGCACATGGATGCCTATTACGGAATCCCTCATATGGACTTTTTACGAATATGCGTGTTCAGGGACTCTGAACTCCTCACAATTTAGTAAGTTAAATGATCGAATGGTAGACTGTAACCAAGACCTAGAACTGATTGGTATAATGTCTCTTGAATTCTATCCGGGGAACCCAACACAGTGCATCCATCCAGCATGGAATTCATCGTTTCAAAATTACCCTCTTGAAATTTGAGGCCGCGGGAGGCGTAGACCGTCGTCGTTGGCGGCAGATAACGATTTCCCCTATTCTCCCCTCTGTGGTTGGGTCTACAACTTGATTCAGTGTATCGAACTCATTCGCCTTTCGGCCCACCTCGTCTACTCGCGTATGTTGCCAGAAACGTGAGAGTTCCATCTGGTTTCATAGCTACCATTTCTCGATGTGCGGCCAACTGCACATTTTTTGCGTCTCCATGCCAATTTCTTAGTAGGTTCCAGTCCTGTGTAACTCTGATTGGGTGAGGCTAATTCGAAATGAGTATTTCGTCTCAGGGAAGCTATCTCAATGAGTCATGGTGCGCGGTGAATGAAGTTTTGCCTCCAGCTTTTCGATTTGGTTAGTAACAAGGCCATTGGTGATCAAAACATGTCGAACTCTTCACCCGGCTCAAGTAGGAGTGCGCATTTAGACTCTGTACTTGTGTACGTTGGAGCCTTCGTGGTTCCTGTCCATGCCAAATATTGCTCGATCCTTCCAATGGCCAGCATGCAGACTTGGGTGTCATTCAGTTCAGTGCCACAGACTTGAATGACATCCACACTTTTGCACTTGCACCACACCACACAGTCCTCCCAATTCACAGTCACTTCCCCAGCCCCCTATCCAGCTCATTTGACTATGTCGTCTTAGTTGTGGACGTACTAGTTTTTGGGGTGATTCAGGTTCTCACATTGTACCGATTATTAAATAACAATAATAATCGTTTAGCTGTAGCACTTTTTCGGTGCCTAGCTGCCATGCCACACGAAGGAGGCACGAGGGCTGGGATACTGCCAGGTCGCCCAAGCGTAGACAGGGGAAGTTGAGAGGCAGAGGTCGGGTTCGAACCGAGTATTGGTATTAATACTTGGTGTAGCTGGTTCTTTCAGGCAGTCATGTTTTATTTAATGTTGTTAACAAATAACATATCCTACTCTGATGTGCAGTTGATATAGTTGATTGTATACTCGTCATTTGCCGCTTCAGCCATTGACTGCTTTTCGTCATTCCAAACCTTTTGGCGATGGTCAGCTAATAAGCTCCAGTTTTAGAGAACATGCTGATTCCACCCTCATAAATGGCTGGAAACGGTTTGTGCGATGACCCGACAGTGGATAGTGAATCCGAGTCCATAAGCGTGGCGAGTCTTGGTTCTTTTTACCTTTCTGTTGTTCGCTGACCCTTTTTCGTTTCCATTTCCTGCCCAGTGCTCTCTTCGCTTAAGGTCGAAACTCACCCGAGCTACCAATATTTCACCACATTATCGAAACGAGTTATTGCAGTGAATGTTGTGAGACTCCGGAAGTTTTCAGCCCATTAGCGCCTGCTTATACTGCTCCAGATTTGAAAACCCGACCACCTCGTTGGAGGTGGTACTGATGTTCAGATGGGTCTTGACAAACTGCGCACGGGCCAGGCCTGGTGGCTTGTATTAAGAACATCCAGATGTCAGTTGTTGTTACTGCCAATGATCGATCCGTCCACTAGGTCATCTTACGAATCAGGTAATACTATGGAGTACTCAGGAGTAAACAAACAAGTGATCCCTGCCAATCCCTATTATGTAGATGCACGGTTTTCGCACCATGATAGTAGGGGAAGTCCCACCACTGTACGGTTCATTTGTCTGAACGGAGTTTAGACCAATGAATCTTACCAAATTTGAATACCATCCCAATTCACCAAATAGCTTAGAATTTTGCCTGTGGCGACTCATAAAGGTTATCTCGGAATTCAGTTTTGGTACAAGTGGCTCATACTAGCCCCTGGTAATCCTAAACAACCGAAGACTGACCAACGTACCGAATTTTTAGGCTCAGTGGCACTTTTCAGATGCAGGAAGGAGCTTGCTCTACAGAAGTTGGGGGCATAAAGTACAACACTTATCCAGATGAGCCGCATACCTCACAATATTTTCGGAAAAATTATCTCAAGTAACACTATGTTAACAATACCATTTTTACCGCCTCCATGCCGTTCTTTTCGTTTTCTATCCGATGTTTTAGCCCAGGTCACCTACAAGCTGTACCGTTACTTGCCATAATTTATCTTTATCCTTTTCTCAGGAAGCACACAGTCACAAGTTCAACGAGCTGATTGAACGTCGACGTCAGCAAGCTGCCAAGAAGCGTCGTATTCAGTCCGGATCGGAGGACGAAACTGCTGCGCGAGCTACTACGACCAAGCGGTCAAGCGCTGCAAGCAGCTCCTCTGAATCAGAGACAGATGAAAAAGCGAGGAAGTCCAGGGACTCTGGGGGAAAGCATGGTGCTACCTCAATGTCTCAACGGATTTTCTCTGACGAATCAGACTCCACGGATTCCAGCCGTCCAGGCGCCCGACCTCAAGCACGACGTGCCAGGTTTGTAAATTCTGTCTTTTGTATTGAATGGACGTCATTTTGCTGGAGCCCCCTGACTGGATATATTTTATTAACCATGTGTCCACGTCCTGGATCCTCTCAACATCGTAGTTCCGCGAAATAGATGTCTTCGACTAAATTACTCCTCGAAGCTTCATGGAGGGGGGGGGGGGCTGGAAGGACTTAGCTTGAGAAGCTATCTTCTATGCCTTTTTTGATAAGACACGTGTACATCATTCCTGGGCGGAACCCGGTGGCCGATTTGAAGGTGCTTGTAAATGGATATCTGTAAGGATTATGTTCAAAACTAAATCTGCTGGATTTTCATGTGATGATGTGAGAATGCGTCACCTGATGAGTTATCTCACTGCTACCTCCCTAGAGTTGGAGTCTTGCTTCATTTCACTCTTCGATGAAGTTCCAGCAAAACTGACTTAGTACCTGTGCTACAACACTTCCAACGTTTTCAGCCATGACGGGTCGACATTAAACCATTATTTTTTGGCCAGTCTGATTGAGTGTGGTTTGAAACCCGCTTATGAAATGAGGACCATATGTTAGATTTATGACGTGCGGTTTATCTTCCCATCATCCAGTCTCTCCAGTTCTTCTGGATCCCAACAGTCCGGTTCTTCCAGTGAAGATGACGCACGTGGTCGTAGCCGTTCTCCCGAGGAATCACTGGTCTCTTCCGTCGAACAACTGTCCAGAATCCGATTGTCCCGTTTCAAACTGGAGAAATGGGTCCACATGCCCTTCTTTGACGTGAGTCCCTCGATTTGTCCATGGTTTTCTGGTTTTGGACATGCTACTCGCTCATTTGGTCGAATGAGTGCATACAGTCTGACCACACAAACATCGAACGGATGGCTTAACCTAAGAAACATTTCTGCGGTCCAGTAACTGCTTATCGGTATCTTACCAATACGCGTAAGGGCACTATCGTGACCAACCATATGTCACGTGATTTCGTTCTCGAAAGACGCGCGTAGACCAGCATCAGAGTTGGGGCTTATTGACCCACCATCTGCATTGTACAATCAATCAGTCTGGCAAAGGAATCACGGACTCGGCGTGCGAAGATGACATTCTTTCGATGCTCTAGTCATTCGTCTTTTCCGGTTTATGTTTGGACAACCTCAACTCTCGGGTTTCTTGACAGCTATTCACATGCTTACAGAAAGGGAATCATTTGTAGGTCTACAAGACTTCCCACTTGTGTGCTACTTATTAGATCTCTGTCGTACATCATACAACCTCAAATCGACGGGTCATTGAGCTTCAGTTGTGTACTGTTGCATATTGTGTTAGATTTGATTAGAAGGGTTTCCGTTGTTGCCAAGGCCTTGCTTTAAAGATTGTGCAACAATTCGCTGCGAGAAGTTACTATCAAACAGGGGATTTCATACCTCTTGTACGGCAGTGAAGCATCGGTATTGAACACTGATATCATGCTGTCGATGATGATGATGGTGGTGACTCATACCTCTGGCTTGTTTAGCATGGAACTTAATTCCATTTACTTATCACTCATTCGAATCCCCAGTGGGCGCTACACATCAGTGGCTATAGACACTGAAATACATAAGCCAGTCATCTAGTCAGTGGTGCCTCTACTTTAATCAAGTTCCGCATCGTGTCTTATTCACTCCCTCCTCTCGCTATCCGCACCTACCGTTCGTGATTGTAGCGGTGATTTCTAAAGCAATTCGACCCAGGTAAGTGATTAATGGCTTGCTGTCGGTGCTACTCGCCTTCCAGGATGGGGACCGCGTAATCCTCATTGTGCTTGGTTGGAGACACAACAAGATATGGCTGCCAACCGATGTCAGTGGCGTTCTTGTTGTCAGTTTCTATCCAGATTGCCTGGGTGAATGTCTGGAGGTGTAGGCACCTCGGAATGATTGTGTTAAGCTAACACTAAGTCCCTCCCCCATCTATCTTTATTCTTTTCTTTACAATAAGGCTTTCAAATAAGTCATGGTTGTACGGCAGTGAAGCATCGGTGTTGAACACTGATGTCATGCTGTCGATGATGATGATGATGATGATGATGATGATGATGATGATGATGATGATGATGATGATGATGATGATGATGATGATGATGATAATGATGATGATGATGATGATGATTAATGGCGAATAACTGTGCTGAACTATAGGGGTTAGATAAGAACGACTCAAAAGAGTGGATCATCGGAATGGTTTTCCTCTCCTAATTACTTTTCTTACCGCCCCAGATCAGTGTTCTGCTTTCCCATCGTGGTATACTGGTGACTCTTCAGGGTGCCGTTAGTTCTTGATAACGGCCCGTGAAATTTTATGCATGTCGAATTCGCCCTACTTTTTATATTTAGGCCGATCGTACTATGCATCGTTTCACGACTTTTTATCCGCAGAGAGACCATGCACAGGACCTTATGTGAATAAGTTCCCGCGCATTTTAGTAAATGGTTACATCTTAGGGCATCATGTCACAGCTCATTCAGTTTTCTGTCATGTGTTCAGCACCTCATGTGGACGAATATAAGTTGATTCACGTGATGTCTTCTATCTGTTCTTATCTGGCTTACCAGTCATTGGTCAAAGGCTGTTTTGTTCGGATCAATATTGGATTAAACCAAGGCGTGGCCGTTTACCGGTGCGCGGAAATTGTGGACATCATAGAGACACCGAAAATCTATGACCTTGGGGAAACCCGGTGAGTCATAGACTGCCAGGTTTTCGCCTTTATCTCTTTTAACGAGCCTCTGTTCTCTGCTTGATTCCCATTTTGCCCTTCGCAGTTGGCTTGTTTCTCGTCCCACTAGCGACATCCCGTGGTTTTATTTTTATTGGGTGAAGCGGTTACATAAATTCGTTTGGTACTGGCACACAATGGGCGTCAATACATGTGTCATACTCATTGTGTTGTTGTCCTGGCTATGCTAAGAGTGCTTGCTGATCATTCATTCTAAAAGTGCTACATAGACGAGCACCATCATCTTTACACATCGATGCTTAGTATCCGCGTCTACGACCCCCACATGGTTGTTGTTGACAGATATCTATTGGTTCTCTTGCGCACTTTTCTCGCCTAATTGATTTATCGAAGTAGTTGAGGCGGTGGTACTCGGTAGGTTGCGCAGGCCTGTTTGTCCAACCATAGTGAACGAAATATTGTTCTGCGGGAGGTCTGGGGGGGGGCAGTCCAGTCAGGAGGGCATGAAAACCGGCTCCATGAATGGAAGTCCCGAGACGATCGCCAGACATGGTCCAGTCACGCATTCGATTTTGTGCATTGATTCAGCAACTACTTTCGGTACATACTCCTCCTTCCGGGTATTCTCGTCGATGGGTTTATACTTCAAATTTAGCATCGACATGAGGTTATCCACCTCAATTTCCCATCAAATCGAACTAACCGGAACCACTGCATGTGTATAGGTTATGTATATGGTGCTGACTCTTCGTTTTTTAGTGGTTAGAACGCTATTTACTGACCGGAAGGTCCGTAGTTCGAACTCGATCTCCGCCTTTCGAATTCACCTGTCTAGGCTTGGGCAACCTGGCAGTATCCCAGCTCTCGTGCTTCCTTTGGGTGGCATGGTAGTTAGGCGCTGAAAGGGTGTTATAACTGAACAATTGTCCTCTTTATTCAATGGAGTTTACATTCAGTTGTTCACGGGCAAACGAGTGCTCACAACATGTGAACGAAGAACCGTGAAAATTTTCTACCACTGGTTTGCCTTTAAATGCTTACAAAAAACCCAATCACCCGTAATCCATTCACTGAATGTTCCCTGCGAGGTGCGCGAACACCGGTAGATGTTGTATGAAAAGCGCTGTCCATAACACCAACAGGTTGATGGTTTGGCGTCCGAGAACCCATCAGACATGTTACCCCTTTCCACAGAACCTCAGGGATTCATTCTAGTTGTATTTGACTTAACACATTACTCAAGGTCCCTGGAAGCTCTTCGATGACCTATTTCCATTTTCACCTTTTGTGGGGCTTATCAGGTAGGCATAGTCCCCGAGTCTCAGGCTCGCAGGTTCAACGTCAGCCATCACCGTGGAATTTCGATTACCAGACTAACAACCAGGAGTCTGGTCCGGAAGTTTTGGTTAGACAACAATTCTTGATGAAGGAGAGGTCCGGTTCGTTCAAAGGGAGCTGAGTGGAAAATCATGCGTAGTCCCGATTTAGTCGTTTGGCTCGAGGTTTTCGGAAATTTGTTCGAGATGGAGTGCCCTTTTTATGAAACCCACTGAATCGGTTGCGAACATGATGGATGCGCAGCTCACAATGTACAGTGCCTTTGTAAGTTCCCAGTCGAAACGTTCGGCCGTTGGACTGGCCGCGACGGGCCTCGGTTTGTCCCCGTCCTTCGTTTCTTCTAGAAAGCAAAAAAAATCATGACTTTGTCGTGAAAAAAACGCTTATGTGCTCCAATAATAAGTACAGGTGCTAATATGCAAACACACTCTCTGAGCATTCTTCCTGACGAAAAATCCAGGTGCAGTGTAATCACTCAGCTGCGGCAAATCGATCCAACTTTTATATTAGGATCTTGTTAGAGGAATGGTCTAGTCAAGATTGGGTAGTTTCCTTAACCCCAAAATACGCAACCTTGGGTAACTATTTACCTCGAAAACCGATCATTGGCCTATGATCCAGTTCATGAACTGAAGCAAACCATGAGTGAATTGGAATGGGAGAACGCATCACCAGGAGTTATGGTCAGGTCAAGGATCCTTAGTTTTGGCCCCGTCTGGTCGTCCCAGACGCGAACTACTTATTCTCAATTCAGTACAAACTTTGGATGGTGTAATCATCGCAGATTATTCTGATGGTTTTTTGGATTTCGGAAATACCGGCCTCATAAACCAACCATTTGATCGGCCAATCAGAGCACCATTGGTCCGCTCGCAACAGACGACAGTTTCAAACCAAACCAGTTTGCGTTCGCCCATGTTCACTTTCAAAATGTACTACGTCACTCGGCTCCAGCCAACTTCAATCTACCTTAGCGATTAGGGCAATTTCCGACTGGGTGCGCGTACTTACCGTGTTCGCTCATCTGTTATCAAGAGGGCAGTGGATCTGAGCAAGCTTGGACAGCGATATACCGCACCACCACTCCGACTACGATTTGACTGAGCAGCCTACCAATGCGGGGAGCCGACCGTGATAAGCGAAGTCGGGTTAACGAACTCACCCACTTTCCCATCCCAACTCCGTTTGGAGTCAAATTCGAACTAGGGTAGACAGCGTGAGCGCCCTTGTATCGGTACACGGGTGCATATCTGGGTCGCAACTGTCTTTACTCTGTCTGGAACTTGTTTCGTGAGCGTTTCCGCTTGATTGTTTGATGTCTCTGTCCAGCTAGATACGAACACTGAAGCTGAGGTAGATACATGCTTGTGGTCAGCGGAAGAAATCTCTGTAAGTTGTTGAGCGATTATCAGTCAGTTAGTGGACGCGACTGACAGTCCTCTTATCAAAAGTACCTGTAACGGTGTCGGTCGCATGACCAGGAAATAGTGCGCAGAAGACACCAGTGACACATGGGCGACTAGTGATTGAGTGAGGCGCATGCTCCTCCGAGATTCCTCTGCAGTGTGTTTGGCAAATCCAACCCCACTCGAGGTTAGAAATTTTACTACCTTTCTTATCCTGGAACAGCACTAAATCACTGAACGACCCAAGCAAATTTGTGCTTTATCGTAGGAGACAGTGAACCACTTGATTAAAAAGTTCAAGAGCGTGGTAGAACCGTTCTAGTTCAATTCACGTGTAAACTGGGTATCCGGGTGGATGGTGTTGTCGGCTTCGACGATGTGACCTATGTTCAGGTCATCCACGTGACATTTGTGGGGAGAATGCTTGACTAACTTGACCATGAACAGAACCAGTTGGATTTGAAGCGGCGAACCTACTACCAAACATTCAACCTGTCAGTATTGAAAATGAGGGTCTGAGATGGCTCAGTGGTTAGAGCGCAAATTTACCGATCGGAAGTTCCGTGGTTCGAACCCAGCATCTACCTCTCGACTTCCACTATCTAGGCTCGGACAACCTGGCAGTATCCCAGTCCTCGTGCTTCCTTCTGGTGGCACTGCAGCTGGGCACCGAAAAGTTGGTGTAGCTGACGGATTTAAATTGTATCCCCGTAATCAGCTACTTTTGTGCTGTTCGTTCGTCATCTTGAGTTCAAGGGACCCTTCGACTCCATGGACAGGTTAACTCTTGTGAATATACTTGGCTTCCTGTTCCCGATACCATTTGTTCTTTTCTGATCGCGTTAGGGTTGACAACGATCTATCGAAAGGTGGGTTCGTTATGGGTGTTGCCGCTTTTGTTTAATTTTGCCATCGAGATCATCGTGGAGTGTATTCTCCAAGGGAGCACAAATCTCTTTATCGAAAAAGATTGCCGAGTTCAGAATACTTGGATGATACTGTTTTGTTATCTAACGACCACGCGTCTGCACAAACTGTTCTAACTAGAATATCGGAAACGGTCCCTAGTTCCGACATGCAGGTTGCCCCTTTAAAGTGTAAGGTTCCTTTTCATGTATCCTGTTGAAAATTCAGTTGGCTGAATGAGGCATGACTACACTGTCAGATGAAGTGAGTGCACGCATCACCAAGTTACGAACAATATTTGTCAACTTTCGTCACCTTTGGCTCCAACAACGAATACCAATGAGTGTGAAGCGCTGTTTTACAAAACGACCTTGGGGACGGGCCTTATATCCTCAAAACTTTGCTTGTCCAATCTAAAAACCTTACGTCTCAGGGTTTGATCACCGATACCCTGGTAGCACAGTAGGCGCTAACCGGCTTCAGTATGAATCCAGTTAGCTTGAGCAGCTGGCGTACCTTGTCAGACTGTGGTGTTTGGATCAGGTATTGCTTATACTCGACCACTCCAACCTCCTGTCAGAGTCTGGCGGAGAACTAGCCATGGCCCAACAGTGACTGTTACCAACTTGGGCACTTCGCGCGTTCCTGGGTGACTGTCCCTCCGCACGGTTATAAATTCTACAGGAAAGGGTACACGATCGTCACCGGAAGGAAGCGCGAGGGCTTGGATACTTCCGTATTACACAGACCTAGACAGAAACAGTCAAAATGGTGGAGTTGGGTTCGAACTATGTATCTTCGCATCGGTAGGTTGGCGCCTTACCCACTGAGCTACTTGGCTTAACTGAACTTTTACCTTTGCTAAACTGTGTTGGATAATGTTCACAAAAGATACTGGCTGAGTCTGACGGTGTCCTACTCCTGTGTATTGCCCACTTGTCTTCTTCAATTTGCTTGTTTTGGGAAGTCTAGACACCAAGGTTTTGACCGTTTCGCTTAGAATATACGGCTCTCCACAATATGTCTCTCCCCTCTTCCTTTCACTATTTACTGGGGTTTTCTTTCTGTATCATTACATGGCAGCTAAGTTATTGTTTATGATTATGAACATAACACCGTGCCTTCCATAGTACGAATTCTGTTGTCTGCATTTTCACTGATGTGTTCGCGTAACAACGTGTCCGTCGTAGGTCGAAGGTCTTAACGTTTGGAGTTTTTTTAGGGTTGCTTGCCCCCCGTTAGCTCGGTGGTAATATGTAGGCTGTTTGTTTCCCCACACGGTTGTTTGGTATTCATTCTACAGGGTAGGACAACATCTCAATTGTTTTTGGGGGCCTTGTATATTTGTGTGATAGCATATCTACAGGACATGCTCACATGAGTACAATACCTTTATGGAGAGCATGTGGAGCTTTGAGAAGATGACCAGTTCGGAAAATCAATGCTGTTCACTAATCTATCGTCCATGTTTTTTTCAGCACCAACAAGGGAATGGTTGTACGTGTTGGCAAAGATCAGGGCACTTTTCGGCTGGCATTTGTATCTAACTCCGATTTTCTCCCGGCCGAATTCGAGAGCTGGTTGCGACGGATATCCGATGCCAATATGAAACCGCCAACACTGGCTTTTGTCAGCGAGAAAGCGGCCCAAATCCAGGATGCTATCAACAAACCGATCAAGGATGAACACTTGGTGGAGCAGGTATATTGTTTCTTCTTTTTCGTCACGTTTATGGTCGATAGTATTTCTTTACGGCGATCATTGATGCAAGGGCGAGGGATGGTTGCCGTAGAGGATGTTGTAACCGTGCTGCCTTGCCTGTGGGCATTCTCTGTAGCTTCTACCGAGATCTCGTTCGGTTAGGGTAGTGACAGTAATTTGACATAAGCGATCACCGTGAGGCTGTTAGGCGGTGAGGCACCGCAAAAGTGTGACTGTCCGATCTGTCTTATCAGCTCTTTAAGTCCACCGATGACTCGGCAGTTGATTCTGCATGGGTTTGGTTGATCGGGCATTGTCTTTATGCCTGCCTCTATGGTTCTTGTGGGTAGCATAACAACCGTCTTCAGGCCGCTACTGCCTGATTCCAGAGTCTCAAATGCGCATTCCTCCCAGTTTCCTCGTTACCAGTGAACAAGTGTGCGGCATTTGGAACCTTTCTTAGATTCTCACGATGACCAAGGAGCACTACCGCTAACATGGCTATCACCGTCATCTAGTCCAACACTTTGTTTTATCTGGCAAAATGCCTGTCAACTGTTCATCTGGTTAGCTCTGTAACCGTGATGTTAGTAGGCTGTTGCCTTCCAACCTTCCATTCGCCAACCTTGATAAGGCTTGGTGAATAATAGTACATAGTTGTCAATTTCAGCGTCCATGCTAAATACCTTTTTTGCTTTTCCCACACCAAGATCATCCAATCAAAGAAGCGATTCCAACGAGCTCCCACCAACTTTGCACTGCGCAAGGCCGAGCTACTCAAACAGCGTGAACAAGCTGAGGTCGAAGGTGACACACTGGCTATCCAGCGTATTGACGCCGAGTTGGAAGACATCGAAACCCAGGCCGAACGTATCGATCGACGAAGAACCATGGGTTTCAAATCCATCACTTCCATTAATCAACGCAATCGGATTTTGAGCGTACAACAAGCGGAAGAAGCGATTCGCAGAGAAAGTCGCGAGGCTCAGAAATCGAAGGAAGAGGATCCCTTCACTCGAGTTCACTCCCAACCTGTGATTGTTACGAAGAAATATCTGGAACAGCTGCGACACAAGCGAGTAAGCTTATTGTGTCACGTGTTTCCAGTGTAGCTATTTTTTGACTCGGGCTTGATTACTGGGGAGAAAACAGAACGTTAAGAGCAAGATTTTTTTACAACCAGGTTTCCGACTTGACTCCGCGACAATTTTGTCGTACTAAGCACTCCGGTCCCTCCTCAGAAGAAGCATCTCTGGTTGGCACTGACACTTTCCTGGTTTAGGGTTTAGATCGTGAAAAGAAGTACGGTAAAACAAGGCCAACCACTACAATTTCATGCATCGTTTCGACCAGTAAGTGGTGGATGCACTCTCAGTATATTACGCAAGATCTCCGATGCTTTCCTTCAAGTTAATAAACCGTTGGTTGCTCTTTTCGTCTGGTCCCGAAGATAGGTATTTGTTCAAAGGGACGACTTTTCTGCTTAACCCTTAGGCTTTCGTTGCGTGGTCTGACGATACCCTTCGTTTCAAACTAGCTGACGCACTCTGTACACTCTCCCGCCTAACTCAGCCGGACAGTCCGTCCCTTCTGGTGGCCATCAGAACTATCACCCTGTTATTTTAGCGCGGGCGTGATGCAACAAGCCACACTGGACTACGAACTGACAACCACTTGTTACCTCTTACCTTGTTGTGGTTGGATAGAACCCAAACCTTATGAGCATGTGGAATTCATCGTTCCGTAATGTAGTCATTTGTTTTCTTGCCGCAGGATCACTCCGTTTCCTGCCCTGTTCTTGTGAGATCCCATTTGTACCGTCCAGTAATCGCATCGGTGCGAGCATTATCCGCGAGACCCATAGACTCCCTATCCTACACTATGCTTTTCTCACACTAGCTTTTGGTGTCTTGCGGTGAGGATCGTCTTGCCACTTCCCCATCTTACAAAAGCTCCTTCTTTTCTGCCTGGTCTTGATTCCAGATAAACAAAGATGCCCAAGGTGACAGCCAAGTTAGCTTGGATAGTACGGCCAACAATGGTTCCAACCCCGGCTTTCCAAACTCCGCCTCGACCAACATGTTACTCACTCCGACCGCGCGTATTCCCTCCACACCCGGCCAAGTCGGTGGAACACCATTTCCAAACACTGCGGAACGAGTGAAGTGGACCATCGAGGACGAGCCGATCAGCTTGTCCACACCGCAAGATTCACTTCACGCAATCCACAACTTTGAAATCCACATTGACCTGGACTTGGATGGTGCCGGGGACCAACCGTCATTCAACGACTCGAGAACCACTCCGTCCAAACCGAAAGGCTTGGATCATGACGCACAGTCGTTTGGTGGTGGTGGTGGTGGTGCGGTGAACGATACACGGGACTCGCGTAACGGTATCTCCACTCCAACCCTCCCCAGTGGCCCAGGAACCGGCTCTGCTCGTCGGCTTCTCAACTTGCAAGAGTATAAGAAGCGGCTGGGACTCATCTGACCGAAGTTTATGCACAGTTCAGATTGAGTTCTCACAGCGGTAGCTGCTTCATCACCTTGGCCGTTTGTGCCTGCGTTCGCGCGTGCCTATCCTTACAGACGACCTCATCACTTTCGCCACTCGGCAACCCGTTGTAACGGTTTGTACATAATTTGTTATTTCATCTCCCTCCCTCATCCAAATCCCGTTTGAAATTGCTGTAAATAGAAGACAAACAGATGACCCTATGCTCCTGTGCCCACCCCGGGTTTTCCGCATGCGATCAGCCATTGTGTTTTCGCAATTCAACTTTCACCGAAGGGTGGTCGTCACTCTCTCGGTGTTTGGCGCTGCTGCTCGGGTTCAATGTTTTCCTGGACTCTATTCAGCCATCACTTACTTCAGTCAAAATTTGTACTTTGTCACGTGAATTCACTATGGAAAACAAACGATTTGATCCTTCTGTGGTTGCTTCGGTCGACAATGGGATATGGTTTCCAAGTTTTTGACAGGAACGTAAATGCGAATCCTGGGCGTTCGTGTTCGCAGTGAGAATTCAAAATTGTCTGATTGGCTTCATTGAATCCACGCAACCTGTTTAAGCTATTGATACAATAAGCGCTCATCTTGACGATACGTTCACGGACGGTTTATCTATCACGACTCACCGTCGGATACCTGTCATGCACACCGGGATTGTTGCGCCACTCAGACTACACACGACCAACGGCTGTATTTGAGTGCTGACGTACTAGCGGGGTACACATTTTGGCTTGTCGGTTAACCGAGCTCCACATAGCTCATTCGCGAATTTACTGACCAGAATGTCGGCGGTTCGAACCTGATCTCCTAATTCCGATTGCTCCTGTTAGGCATTGGCAAATGGGCAGTCCGAATTGACGTATGTCTGTGAAAACATGTCTGTCGAGGATGAAGAGGAAAACATCTTTGAGCCAGAGGTGGTCTAACAATGACTTGGCGGCGAAGTATTAAAGCCATTACCAGCAAACAGCTGCGCTGGCCATTGCCGTCTTCCTGAATGGGGACCCCGGGATGGGCCATATCAGTGGTTGGAGGCATTGTTAGGCATGGCCCAGTCGCACCCTCAGTGGTGCTCATGCATCTAAGCTATTGCCTTCAATGCATAGCTCTCTTCCGAATTCCCCCATTTAAAAGTCCATTGACTGCCGTATTTACGCACCAATTTCTCAGTTCCCGCCTCCAATGCGCAGCTATCTACCCCACCTCCCCAAATCACCGGTGAACGAAACTGTGGCAGCTTCAACCACTACACGACAAGTACGTGGTTCTTAAAGCTCACAGTGGTGATGATGATGATGACTTAGTATGAGTAAAAATGCTGAAGCAGGCGATTCCACAGGTTTCCGGTGTTTTGTTACACCAAGATTCGTTGAGGGTGCAGAGAACGGCAGCTGGATTAGCCCGTGAGACAACCAAGCCACCACAGTTCAGGAGGCAACTCATTCACGCCTTCGATCGTGACGCTACCCGGTTTACAACTTCCTGGGTATGTTGTGACGCTCTGACCGGCAGGTCGCGCGCGACAAATTGCACTGTAATCTGTTTGTGGAAAGTGGGGAATAGCCGTCGCCATTTTGGTACCATTAGACGGAATGACGATCAACAAACCGATATACCTCGGCACCGCTACTCACCGGTTATCATTCTTCTTCAGTCTCTGTACTAGGTTGATTACTGTTGTTGGCCCACGCCTAGCCGTTTTAATCGAATCTGAGCAGCGTTCACCGCTAGCCCCTGCTGAAAACGATGTCCTTTTAGTTTCTACTGAGTCATTACATTACGTTGGTGATTAGGACTGATGCTTTTTGGTTAATCCAGAAAGCCAGGTTGGATGAAATCAAAAGGGCTTCCACGACCGTCGACGTAGTACTGGATTTCGAAACAGAACAGCCGGTCTCGGTGAATACTCTCACGTGTAGACGAATTTGGTTTCAACGAGAAACTCAACTGAAGCCAGCTGGATTTCTCGTTTATGACGGCCCCTTTTAACTGAATGTGTTGCACCAGGGCGCCCCATTTTCAAGTTTGTACGACATTCACTGAGTCTGAAGTGGAAGGTCGAAACCGGTCTTGGGCTGTTGAACTGTCTAAACAACAGTTGATCTAGGATTTTTTGAGAGAAATATCTGTTGTCAGGTGACACACGTATGTCAGGTCTGAACTTTGTACATATTGTTTATCTGGCAATCACGACCGTGCTTGCATTAGCCGTTCGAAGAAACTTCATGTCTCCAGATGGTCAGGTCAAGTTTTGCGCGACCCGCGGTCAATTTTAAACAATAGCGGTACCATATATAAACAAACCAGTTCGATAGACGCTAAGAAAACGCCTGGAATTTTCACCAATCGACGCTCTAAATGAGTAGTGTGGTACGAAGCTATCACAAAAGGCGAAGGATAAAGCTGGAAGAGGAAGGATGGGAGGAACGTGTATCAGGTTGGAGTAGGGGCCGTGAGACATTGTCTCCTCGGGCAGCGGAACTGAGAAGTTTTCAGGTCTTCGACCACCGTTGTCTCAAAGCCATAGCTGGTATGAGTTGTTGTCCTCAACCAAAGCCTTTGGCTCAAAAGCCTGACCACAAGGCAGTGGTCATTGGCGAGAAACGCAAATACATTACCGTTTTTACAAAACAAGTCGCCACATATGTTCCAACCCCTAACCTGAAAGTCCAAGAGACTGTCTTCGTCTAACCACCAACCGTTAACCAAGCCGGTATAAGAGAATCTGCGAATGTTTCGCGGACATACCCCAGTAAAACTCACTGGGGCGGTCAGGTGCGCAGACGGTAAGGTCCAGTCTCCTCATGACGGACTACAAGCGCATAGTGTCCGAAACAGGTGGAAAACCCAAGTACAATGTTTCGATTTTGAAAATGCATAAAACGAAAGCGCTACAAATTCAAACGTCTGGACGCAGCATTGGCAGTGAAACATCATTGGCTGTTGAACCCATATTTTCGGCCAATCAGAGCTATCCTTGCTGCTGGACCGGTAAGCTGCTCGAGCTTTGGCCCAATCACCTACTAGTTGGGCTTATTGGCCGGTGCGAAGCCTAACTACCGGGGCTGAGGCGTATGGTTCTGCTCAGCACTTCATCTAGTGGTACGCTGTCCTTGAAGTTGCACTCACTGATTTTGGCGTATTCAGTGGTTACGGTAAACAGGTCATAGAATTCCCGGTTGAGTCTGGAATATAACTCTTATCCCTCACCTCATTGCTTCTTCGGGATCCACCGCACTACACCGCAGCCATCTTTTCAGAGAATCTTATTGAGGCGCTGCAGCTTAAGTGGCGATTGTGAAGAGAACCTGTCAGCGCTAATTTAACTATGCTCAACACACCAACATACATCGAAGCAACAGACAAGATAGTCAGTCATGTTCTGACAAATCGTCATAAGAATTCGAAAATTCGGTGCCAGAAGACAGGTCTGTCAAAACCTTGAGGTTATCTGGTGATACCTTCCATTCAGCTTATGCAAATTTTCCGCCCTAAGGTTATTCTGGGATTATAATTTCAGGGACAGGCTTGGAGTTAAATGATCAGGGGAAGCGTTTTCAGCGTGGCCTTCAGTTGCTTTGGAAATCTAACAATATTTGTTGAGCTCAAAAATGTCAGGTGAAAACAATGAGACAGATTCAATTCGCCAGCGAATACGCGAAGGTACCTATCCAAATGGGTTTTACTGGCGACAGAAAAGAAGGAGACAGTCAGAATGTTCTGGAATTGTAGTACATGGGGTGCAAAGTTACAAACTATGAGGACGGACGATTCGGTAGCTCGCTAAAATCAGAGTTCGTATCTCCGAGTAACAGCTGATACAATTTAACTGAATTGGACGCCTTTGAAAACGCCGTCAATCTCTACTCACATACGTAACGACACCAGCTTCTCTGTTACGAATGCTAACAGGACGGGTAACACGAAATAAATCAGTGCCTGCAATCAATCGAACAAAGTTTGGAACCGTTTGAGAAGTCATCGTTTTGGGAGGGTTTGGTAAACAATGGGTTTGTCAACCAAACCCTTCTTAATCATGGCCTTGTTGCTGGAAGACCAACATTCCAACCCCGAGTTCAGCTATCTTTCATGGAGCATTACAACTGCATCATTATTCCATACTCGTTCGCATTATTACCACTATATTATAGCGTCAGTAAACATTTCACTACTTATATATATATCATATTGCTGTTATCATGTATTGGACTGTTTTCAAGAGATTCAGTCGAGTCTTTCGTGAAAACCAAATTGATTTGTAAATGAGTGCATTTCTTCAAAACAGTCCAATTTGGGTTCCAGTAGAACATTAGGTTGACGGAAACTCGGGGACTGCGCCTACCTGATGAGCCAGAAGGTCGAAATCAGTCGTGGGCTATCGAAGAGTTTTCAGCAACCTTGTGAGTAGTTTCCTGTACGAAAATATACTGCGATATCTCAAATATCGTGGCAACTGAAACATGAGTCGGCCTGCGTGCAGCACGTTCAGTTGTAGAATATCATAAACAAGAGATTCTCTCGTGAAAACCAAAGTGATTTGATTATTTCTTGAAAATGGGGAGGTGTTACGTTGTAAGTTGCTAGGGCATAAATCTTTGGGTTGAAAAGGACGATGAATCTGAATGTCCCATACAGGTATTCACTGGAGTATCTGGAAACCCTGCTCTGGGTCCCTTAGCCGATACGCGCTGCAGGTCTCTCCACCGCAACCCAGGTAAGAAAAATATGGCCGAATCAATTTTCCAGGCCTTTCCAGCTGAACATTACAATGTCTCACTTTTCGTTCTCCACTGCGCATAATCCACTGCACTGGTTGACAACCGCTCCCATCATTCCGGCCAACCAGGACAGAGAAATAGAGGCTTTAACTAAGTGTACCTTTTCCACACCGGGAACTCTCGGCACTTCCAAGGTCATGTCCCAAGACGACTAAATTTTACGTTAAAATGTCCCAAAACGTGTGTGTGTGTGTGTGTGTGTGACAACGTGTCTCGCACCGAGAGCTGTAATCCTTTGGTACACCTTGAATAAATATCAAGTCGTCGCCTAATTGCTACTGATACGCCTTAGGATTCCTACTGAATCATCTTGAGAGGCTTATTGGGATGACTTACCTTTTTCAGGTGAAACGGTACGGTCCTTGGTTGTTTAGAACCCTCCAAATCCAGAAAACATTTCTCTAATGATGGACGTTTGTAAAATAATTCAGACTCGTTCCGAATTAGAGACGGAGATGGCGAAGTAGTGTCCAAGGACGGGAGGATGGCTATCACTTTCATTAGGGGTTTTCCTTTTCGGGAACTTAACTCGAACCACGAACTATTTGGTATCACCAACGTCCATTACCCCTTGATTGTACTCTGTTATCATTTATACATTTCCCTTACATCTGGGGTTCTGATCTGCTTAAAGCGATTGAATTGTCTCGAATTTCACGGATCCCAATAGGTTCTGTATAAGCGCCCAAGGCAGTGAAGCACCA